TAAGCTACAAAAACAGTTAAAGCGGCCTCGAGAGGAGGGACAAATGCATGCTCGGTCGGCTTCGGTCGGAAATCCGTTGTCATGCCCCATGTTGCCTCTGTTTGCACTGTTTTGCACCTCTGCAAACTGTGAAAATCTCTTTGATGCTTCTAAACCACTTCATGGCCATTCTGAGAGGCCATCGGCCAAAAGATATGGCCATCGGCCAAGTAAAAGGGGTCATCGACCAATTTTTACTCCATCGGCCAAAGATTGTTAGCCGATCGGCACTGAAGATAGCCGATTGGCCATCTCTTCTTGCAGATTGCTCTTTTTGTTGCAGCAGAGGACAAACAAGGGCATGGTAATACATTTGCAAGAAAATGCTGTGCACCTACACCTCTTATCATGTTTGAGACTCAAAGGAGTGTAGTGCTCAACCCTTGGGCCATCAATCACGTATTTCGATGCATGATGGCCAAAGAGGCCGAGTTGCACACATCAATATGGAATGAATGCACAAAACACATGAATGCCTCACACTCTATCATGTTGGGTCAAGAGTGTCGGCGACCGAAGATTGAGGCACGTTTCGTCACTTCAAGTACGAAACGTCCCTTGTGTTTGGTTTGACACCCCAAACCAAATACAATGCAATGCATGCAACATGAAAAAGCTATGCAATGCAACGAGACTAATGGTATGCTAACAACCCTAATGCAATATGAGCATGCAAGTGACCATGCAAACAACTCAAGCATGCAACCAGTATGCATCAATGTCATGGAATGCAACTAATATGCAATAGGCATGCAACCTAAACATGCAAACATACAATGTAATAGGCATGCAACAACATGCAATACGATAAGCATGCAACAACACACAAACCGCATGATCTATGGACTCATACTGAAAATGGATAGACCTCAGCCGTACCAAAAATAGTGGCCATAATGCCAAAGACAAGACACCAAAAGGCAAGGCATGCATGCACACATATTGGTCCACAAACATGACATGAAGACACCAACTCTTAAGAGCACTTAAAGAGTGAAAAGTGTGGACATGTGACAATGCTATAGACCCTGAAATTAAGCATGGAATAATGCCAAATCAACCAAACAAAACAAGTATAGCATATTAAGAGGCTCAAAGCTCAAGGTTAGCAAAGGGATTTAAACCATGGCCATGCAAAGCAAGCCTCAAAGGACCAAGGGCAACCAAAACAGTCCCAAGGCAGGTCAATACAAGACCAAAAGCATGCTTGAACCTAGCTAACACAAGCTAGAACAAAAGACCAAAAGCATGAAGCATGCAAGGCTAACAAGGGGTGTTACACTACACCTATCAAACGCAAACATGGCATGACTTAACCAATGAAAAACAGAGTTATGGCATGTCAAAATAAGCCCATAAACCCACTGAAATGGCATCCTAAAGACCTAAGCATGGAGGCATGCACAATGATCCATTCATGAGACATAAAACATCAACTCTTCAAAGCATTAAAAGGATGACGAATGCAAGTGTATGGCTACACTACATGGACTGAAATCACATATGAGATGATGCCAAATCACGAAAATGGTCCAAGTAATGCATGCTAATAACTTGGACACTCAAAGCTAGCAAGCTAGAATACATTGTGGCTATACAAAGCATGGCATATATGGTCAAAAGAACACAAGAGAGAGCTCAAGCATGTTAAAACATGACTAAAAGTTCATTTGAGTTGAGCCAAAATATGCAAGCATGATGGTCCAAATGCATGATGCATGTTAAGGCAAATGAGAGGATTTCAAGACAAGTGCATGATGCATGTAAGAGGCTATCAAACCAACTTAAAACAGAGGTATAGCATGGCCAAATAATACCATATACTTGCTGAAATGAAGCCAAAACATGCTAAGCAAACATGCTACCATTATGAGCTAAATATACAAGCAAATGAGAGGCAAGGAGAGAGGGGTGTCTCTCTCCTATTCAAGACTCTAAAACCACCTTTCCACCACTGAAAATCCTCTGGATTTCAGTGGTAGAAAGGTCATGCAAAGGCAAGAACAAGGGCCAAAAGAGGTGGCTCAAAACAAGGCCAAACAAGGCCTAAGAGGGGGTAGACTACCCCCAACCAAAAAGTGACCTTCTTGGATCAAAACCAGCCCAAGAACCCTGAAACTAACTTCCTGTTACCTCAGCAACCAAAGGATGGTGTTTTACTAGGTGCTTTAGTACAAAAGTATGAACAAAATACACTTTAAGGCACAAACACATACACAAATATAGAGAGAGAGAGAGAGATATAGCGAGAGAGATATATATCACTTCCATATCAATTGCTAAACCTCTGGAAAGGGAGGGGAGGCTCCCTTCTTATAGAGTTTCATTTCTCAAGCTTGTTCAACAAGCTTGAGTCTTAAAACAAATCCCTCCATACACGTGTATGGAAGATGGGAATTGTGCATACCAACTGTCACAGCTGGCACAAAATATCTGCAAAAAAGCAGATGGAAATGTCTCGGCTCAAAAATATGGCCAATCAACCAAACAAAGAGCCGATCGACCAAAAAGAGTGCCGATCGGCCAACACTTTTGGCCGATGGCAAGAAAACAAGGCCGATGGCATCATGCCTTGGCCGATGGGTTGAGGGGATGGCCAACAAGCCACCCTCTTCCCTCAGAAGCAAAAACACAAATCCTTGGTCTACAACCAAGCACAAAACAGACAAGTTGAGAGATCCTAAGGCAAGGCGCTCAGCCAAGACCTTTGGGAACTCAAAACGAACACGAGCATGGATGATCATCGAGTGTTCAAACGATGACGTTCAAGTCTTGAGGACGGTCAAAAATGGGGTGTCTACACCCTGTTTTGCTCTGTTCCAGTTCTGATTGTAGTAGATCCTCTCCAAAATCAATGGCCGGCTGACCAAAGCTCCGTACGACCGACCACTTCTTAAGGCTGGCCAACCCACTTTTTTGCATGACTGTGGCACTTTTTCAGTGAAACAGAGCAAATACTGAGGCCCAAAATAGAGTTATTTTCAAATTGTGAACAGAGCAACTTCTGGAAGTGAGCAGTGGGGGTTTCCGAAGGATGTTCTCGCCCTTTTCCGCATGATTCACCGCCTCTCTGTAGACACCCCATTTTTGACCGTCCTTGAGACTTGGACGTCACCGCTTGGAACACTCGGTGATTATTCATGTATGTGTTCGTTTAGAGTTCCCGGAGGTTTCGGCTCGCGTGCCCTGCCTCAGGATCTCCGAACTTGACCGTTTAGTGTCTGGTTTCACACCGAACACTTGTGTTTTGCCTTGGAATGTAATAATTAGCTGATTAGGACATTTGGACCCTCTTGTGTGAGGGCAAATTTGTAATATATGTATATCTTCCAACCGCCATTTCTTTCTCCTTTTTATTTACATGCTCACCGTAGTTGCATATAATATCATGTTTTCGTTTTATATCATTACCATACTTTGTATCCATTTTTGCATGCATTAAGGTTCGATTCATCATTTTTGAATATCACTGTCATTTCCTACTTACTTGAATATGTGCGTTACCGCGTGCTTTGAGTTAATCCATATGACATGTTAATAAATCGAACCTAATAGTTGCATTCTTATATGTGTTGCATTAGTCATGTGCATTGTTAGGGGTTTGCATTTTTCTAATTGCTTTCTTTTTCTTTGGCTTAACTCAGAGTACTAGGTGAGTATTTTTTTGGCTTTAGCATATTCATGTGTGTAATTGTTGCCATGCTTAGCATCTTACCATGAGGCTACATGCTTACTCAAAATAACTGTTTGAATGCCTGTGGATGAAGGTTATTTTACTTGCATTAGGGATGATTTTGATTAAATGTATGTACGAGCTCATTTATTTCCCTTTGAGTTGTGTGCACTCAAAACTCTTTTAAAACAAACCACATAAAATCAAGTCATTTCCAAAGCAAACGAAACAATCTATATTTGTTTGCTTCACATAGTAATGTAGTATATTAATAATCAGAACATGAGCATATAATGTATATAAAATTCACATCATGATTAGAAGAGGCCGATCTTTGATCGGGTAAGTGGGGTGCTCAATTCATGACTTTTCCCTCTCATGCCTAAGTTCCCGAGCCGAGACACTTTGGTTATGACGGTGTAAACACTCCATTTTTGACCGCCCTTAAGACTTAGGCGCCTCATGGGAAACTGTAATAACCCCATCACGTATAATGATTAGTACTTGATTAATTAAGAGGATTTGAGATTTAATTGCCGAGTATTATAATTTATTTGGGATTTATGAGAATTGTGGAATCTGACTCGTATATGATTTTATTAAAGGTTTATTTTGGAATTAGAAATTAAGAGTCCAAATGGCTTAAGTAAGTGAAGTTAAGAAGTCGAATCAATTTAATCTTAATTATGGACCCATTTGGGAGTTTAATTAAATATTCGATTCAGTTTAGTAAAATTGGGATTTGATTAATTAGGTTCTAATTGGAGTTGATTAAGTCATGATGATTGCGAATTGTGGTTGTTATAAATTAAATTTAATTATGATGTGTCCAATTTGAAAATGTAAATTATTGTTGAAAATTGGAGTCTGATAAGAAATTAAAGGCCTGAATGATTTGGGAAATCGAAATTGATAATGATAATAAATTCAATTTAATATTTGGAGCCTTTTGGGAGTCTAACTAGAAATCTGATTCGGATTGATAAAGTTAAATATAACTAATTGGGCCTTAGTGGAAGTCAAACCAAACTAATTAATTTATGTGGGACTTATGATTTGTTATAATTAATTTAATTATGTGTTGATTAAGATTTATTAAGATTAAATGATGCTTAATTAAATTAATCATAAACATAAATTAATTTGTGGAGGAATCTAGAACTAAGGGGGCTAATTGTGGGTGTGTGTGTGCACTAAGAAATCCGATTGTGATGTGTGTGTGTACGTGTAAGGTGTGGGCAGCAAGTACTTATATAATTATATTATTATATGAGTTCAAGAAGTGTACTCAAAATAATATCTGAAAGAGGAAAAAAAGAGGGGGATGAAGAACAGCCACGAGAGAGAGAATGGGTTTGTGTGTGTGGGACGGCTGGTAACAAAAGAAGGCCAAGGATAAAGCTATGGATTAGAAGAAGCAATGAAGGAAAGAAAAGGGGGAGTAGAGGTGAATCAATTAAAATGCTGAAATTAAAGTTTAAGGTATGGATTCATGCTTAATTTTTATAGAATCCTTATATTATACTTGAAATTAAGGATGAAAGTGGAATCAATAGTAAGAAAATGAAGAAAAATTAGCTCAAGAATAAGATTAGGGAAATTAATTTGGAATGGGTTACATGCATGTGGATGATTATGAAAAATGAATTAGAAATTAATTATTAGGAAATTGATGTTGAGATTAAATATTTGAGTTTGATTTTCTTCATCCTTCACATATTGGAAGTTTATCATTACATGCATGGTAAGTTTTCAAGATTTTAGAATTTAATTCATATTTTAAAGTTATGAGCTTGAGATTGAATTGTGATATAAATTAAGAAGTCAAATTATAAATTGAGCTTGATGATGTAAAATTGGTTGGATTTGATAAGTGTTTTATACATGCATTATGGATTTTGAGGAATTTAAGGTAAACAATTTCATGTTTTGAAGAAAAGAAGGAAGAAATTTTATAAGAAAAATCAAGTTTATGGAAAATTAAACATTGATTTAATTTTGAATAAAGAAGAATTAATTAGTTTTAATCTTAATGTCATACATGCAAATATTTTCCTAAGGGTCCTATAACTTCAATTTCATGTACATTAAAAGGAATTAGTAAAATGGTGTAGAATTGAATTAGATTCAAAATTATAGAAGTTCATCTGAAAATAACCCTTTTGGGTTTGAATTTATTTGTCTTATATGAAATTGAGCTTCAATCACACATGCATCTTGTAATTTCAAGAATTTGAAAGCCTAATTTGTATCTTAGAATTGTGGGTTGATACTAATAAGATGAATTAAAACTAAATTTGGCAATTGGGGCATGATTTTGAATAGATGATTTTTGAATAGATGATTTAGTAATTTATGACTTTAATAAATGGTTCTCCATGTTTGTATACCAAAGTACATGTTTTGAAGCTTTGAATACCAAATTTGGACTTTAATTGCAATTTTGGAATTTCAGAATTTTCGTTGTCCTCGCTCGAGCGTGAAAATTGAGCTCCCAGAAGTTTTCAAATTTTACAGTCCACTCGAGCGGCCAAAGTGGCGCTCGAGCGGAAACCCATTTTCAGCATATTTTGGAAAGTTGCATTTAGTTCATATTTTTATTCTCATTTCTTTCCAAAGCATTCTAGACATGATTTATGACTCAATAAAGATTAATAAGCTACCAATCAACATAAATTAGTTAGTTGAAGAATAAATCATTGATCTAGTAGTAATTGTTTAAGAAGCCAAGTAAAGGATCAATCTATTTGGAAAAGAAAGACTTAGTAACGAGAGAATATATGAAATTAGAACCCGATTTATTTAATGAGAAAGAATAAGCGTGGTAGAACTTCAGACTATTTAGACGGAAAAAGACAAGTTTGATCAATGAAGTAATATTGTATTTCAATGTGTATATGTTATGTGCTTGTGTAGGTCACGCGCCTTTGTCTGCCTAATTTATATGATGTGTCCAGTCTATCTAATTTGCTTCTGCAGCTATCGGTGAGTAATAACATTGTAAAGTTATGTTCAATGTTAAATATTTTCTGAACATTATGACATGAAATGATTTGTCTTCTGAAATGCTACGCTATGTTTTGAAATGAATGAATGATTGTCCAAGATTTTGAAAATTATCCGTGGCATCCTTAGCACTACATGATATGCGTCCCTTTATGGGTCATCAGGTCCCTTTATGGGTCATCAGGTCCCTTCATGGGTCATCAGAAACGTTTTTGTGTACATGAGTCATCAGAATGCCTTTAAGGCCGTCCCTTTATGGGTCATCAGATTTGTTAACGCTAATGGATGTGCCACGTATGATTATATGCAAAATCTGAATATGGAAATGATTATGAAAATGATTACGAAAATGATTTGGAATCTGAATATGCGTAAGACTCTGCTTTTGATGAGAATTTGATTTATAACTCTGTGATGGACATCATTCATTAAACCCTTTACTCTATTATTATTCACTGGGCTTTAGCTCACTGTATTATTTATGTATGTAGGTGATCAGGCGTGTGACCAGGCTTAGAGGCATCTGCCTAGAATCTGTTTTTGTTAGCCAACCTATGTGCCTCCCGTGGAGGTTCCGGATATGTCAAGTGACTATCGCTATGTAATTTAAAGTTTAAGTTATGTTTTCTTGTTTGGTTAAACATTTTCTTATGTATTTTGAAAAAGGGGCTAAGTCCTTTTTATCTGATCTGTATATATGTTATGATTTCAAGGTAAGGTGTTTATATGTATATAAAAAGTTTAAAATTTTTCTGTCTCATATAAGTCTGCACAGCTCAATGGACGTTGTATATTTCTTATTTGCTTCCGCTAGCCCCTAATATTATGTTAATCTGTCTCAGAGGCCTTCGGTAATCCCAAGATTACTGGTCGGTTACGATGCTAAACCTATAGGGGCGGGTTTGGGTCGTGACAGAAACACTCAATGATGAATTAGTACGCTGTACAATTGTTCAATTTCCTCAGCAAAAGGATTCGACTTTCTAACTTCAGAGCCTAAAACCTTGCACCTTCTTTGGACCAAAACCTAATTTTTTCGAGCCTAACCACTTAGAGGTCTGCTGGCCAACAGGTGGTCGGCAGGTCAATTTTATTAACTGGCTGTCCTCTTTCTTGGCCAGCCGATGTCCAGCGGCAGACAGATATTTGGTGCCAGTTGTCCCCCCCATGTGCATGCCTTGCACCAGTTGGCTCAATATAGATATTTCCAACAGAGGAACCTGTTTTTCTATAAATAGATGACTATCCCTTTTGATTTTCGGTTAGAAAAATTTACCAAAAGTGAAAAACTTGCCAAACACTCTCCATCTCTATCTTGCAATATACATATACTATATATACACTTTGTAAACGAAAAATTTGAGGCTCCTAGTTGAGATTATTGAGCCAAATTTTTAGCTATTGAGGGTGATCACTTGGTGGTTTGTGAATCAAGGGGTAACTCCTCTTCAAGAGGTATAACCTTTGCCGTATTTACCCTACTCTTTCCTTCTCTTTTCTTGCTGTTTTTCACAATGTTTTGGACTGTTTTGTGGGCTGAAACTTATGATTCAAAAGCTACCAGAGGTGGAGGGGTTAACCACCCTTCCTTAAACCTTATTTCATAGCTTGTATCCTTGTTTTTCCTACATATTTATCAACTTTTAGCTACTGATTTTTATAGTTTTCAGAGGCTAAAGCATGTGACTTTAAGGTCCAAAAGTAAAGGGGTTAGCCACTCCCTCCTTTGGCTTGCTTACTAGCTTTGTTCTCCTCTTCTTTTACTTGCTTTTTCTAGCTTTGCAAACTAATTTTCAACACTATTTTCTAGTTTTGGGATTGTTTTAGCATGTTTACTTAGTTTATGCTTTAAATATTATACTTGTATTGTTGTAAGTCCTCATAGATTTGGCGGTTTAGGCCTTAGACGCCAATCTATTTGAGTTGATAGCTCTTATTCCATAGTTTTCATACATATACCCACACTTGTAATAATCATCTCTGCAATCTCCCTGCTTTCTTGGTTTTTTTTTTGTTTTTTTGTTTTTTGTTTAAGAGTTATCTCAAGCACTTGGTTGTTGTTTAAGGCATGAGACAGAGACCTTCCATGCTTAATGAATTAACCTCTTCGGAGGTTCATTACCGAGGCATTACATCTCTTTCATACTAAGCACAACTTCTTGTTTGACACTTCTCTTCGTTAGTGGATGTAGTTATCACTTTTGGACAAAAATGAATAAAGAATGACAAGGTAATGTAAAAGAGGTTAAAATTGGACTAAAAGGGGTAAACAAGAGTAATAAAATTGGTTTGGGTTCAATCAGACGTTATATTGAACCTATTGTGTCTCAAGTCATTACATACTCTTTAGTGATGCTAATGATTCGAGAAGCAATGTGTACCACTTCCCTTGAGGTAACTCCATGATAGGGAGATGGTTTTGTTGGTCTTTAATTTTCATTTATTGACCCTTTGCCCTATCAGTTCATAGATCATCATGTAACAATTTTGCAAGAATTGATGATTTATGAATCAAGTCTACACGCCCCTTGATCAGTTTCATGATAGGGAGAGGTAGAAAGGACAAACATCTCCTGGAAACACTCTATTTTAGTTCTGTTTCATTTCTGTGGTAGTAGGGCAATACCTAAAAACAGTGGTTGGCAGACCAACTTTCTACCCCACCAACCACTTTCCAAGGCCGATCGGCCACCATATTTTATACAGGTAGTGTCATTTTCATGGCACAACAGAGCAGAAGTTGGGGCCAAAACAAATTAATTTTCTAACTGTAAGCAGAACAATTTTTGGCAGCAAAACAGAGAGGTTTCCAGGAGGGCATTCTCATTTGTGCACATGTGACGCTTCATTTCCTGTGGTCCTTTAAAATTAATTCTTTGATAGTAGTATGTGTAAATTAATTAGATTCGTTCGAAATTGTAATAGCTAGTTAAATTTAGTTATTTGTAATAGCTAGTTAAATTAGTTAATTTGGTATTGTAATAATTACTTTAAATTCGGACATTCGGATCGTCTTGCATGAATGCAAACTTGTAATATTGTATATGTCTTCCAACCTCCATTTCTTTCTCCCTTTTATTTGTATGCTTATAATGGTAGCATCATGTTTTACATTTTCATGTCATTGCCATGCCTTACATCCATTTTGCATACATTGGGTTCAGTTCATCATTCTAAACTTCTTGTTATTTCCTACTTAATTGAATACGTGTGCCATCGCATGCTTTGAGTTGAGCCATATGTCATGTTAATATATCGAACCTATTAGTTGCATTTTGTATGTGTTGCATTAGTCACTTGCATATTAGAGCATGCATTTTTCTAATTATTTTATCTTCTTTGGCTTGCCTCAATTCAGTACTAGGTGAGCATTTTTGTTTTAGCAAATTGCATGTGTATTTGTGTTGCCCTATCAACCATATTACAATGAGGCTACGTGCTTAGTTGATATATCTCTTGAATGTCTGTAGATGAAGGTTTTTTTGCTTAAGTTGGGATGATTTGATTAATGTACATATGAGCTTACTTTTTCAAGTAGCACATATTCAAAACACTTCTCAAATAAACATAAAATCAAAACATTCTAACGTTAGTGACTTAGTCTATACTTGTGCGCTTCATCTAGTGAGTTAGCATAATAATCAGAACAAGAGCATATAATGTTAATAAAAATCACATCATGATTAGTGGAGGCCGATCTTTGATCGGGTGAGTGGGGTGCTCAATTCATGACCTTCCTCTCTCATACCTAAGTTCCTGAGCCAAGTCACTAGTTTCTTAAATTTCTCAAAAATATTTAGGTGGCGACTTTGAAATCTGGCATTGCAGTCCATTTCTAGCATCTCTAATGATAAATGGAGTTTCTAAGATTTGCTAGATTTGGGCTCTCATTTGTTTAATCTATGTCATATTGCACTTGTGAAACCAGATTTAGAACCGCGGGAGTTCGAACTGTAGGGCTATCATATCCAAGGAGACTAAACCCCTCCAAGGAGCATGAAAAGCAAGCTACAGTTCTGGCGACTCTGCTGGGGAGTTAGAGAACTTGACTTGAACTTCATGATATGAAATTTTATTTACAGATATATGTTCTTTGCATTGCATTTGTATTGGTGCTTTAAGTCACTATGTTTTTCATCTGCTATTCCTAGATGACTTGGCGAAGGCTTGCCTAAAAAGCTTGCCAAAAGGCTGGCCAGTTATGAGCTCTGCCATGTTGGAAACACAACCCTCGAATCTGGATTATTGTCATGCCGCTTGATCCTCTTTTCACTTCTGAATGTCAGGTGTGAGAGGTATATTAGGTAATCTTGCTGAGATACCCTTTTCGACCATTCGGCCTAGTTGCATTTAGTAAAGTCATAGTGACTGTTCCAACAAAGGATAAGATGCTCACTCGTATGCAGGACTTTGTGAAAATACTTGCTTGAAGTAGTAAAACCCTAGATCATGTCAAATTTATGATAGGGTAACCCTACTCCCTCATAGAGGTGTTTTGGCTCTTTTTACTTTGTATGTGCTTTACAGTGAAACTGTACAGAAATGCACCCTATCAACTGTGCAAGTTAATATTAGTTTGTGGAGGGAAAAATTCAGTGGGAAATACAAATCTTCAACTGTGATCATAAATGTTGCAAATTTGGCCGAAGTGCTATCCAGTTTTTTTTTTTTTTTTTTTATAATTGTTTTTCCTTTTCTATTTCTTTTTGCTAGGTAGTTTTGCAATCATAGCTTTAGAAAGACCCGATATCCCCCAAGTTTTACAGACTCACTTTGGTAGGCTTTGCAAAATCTAAGATTTAGTTTATGGTTAGCCAGCATTAGTCTCTCTTCCACCAGTTGATCGGAGGAGAAGAATCAGTCAGCTTTTACCAGCACAGAACTCAACAGTCACCTGTCTGTTCTTACCCACTCAGTTCACCAATAGCTAACTCTCCTAGACCCACAATGGCATATAGTAGTCCAGAAGATGTTGCTGCTATGATGATAGCTTTTCCGAGAACCATGGATACACTGAATCAAAGAATCGTTGCTTAGAATGAAACCATTGCTGAAATGCGACGCCCATCTGGGGCATCGACATCTATTAAACATCTAGTCCCAGCTGCCTAGCCAAATCCTGATCCACCTCCACCAGTTGAAAATCCTCAAATCCTCGGATTCCTAAGAGATGCTAGCACAAGCTCAAGTCTTCAAACCTCTAGCACAACCCCACGGAGGACTCCTTCCCTTCGACATCGACGACATTGATCCAGCTATAATAAAAGTTACCAGACTAGAGAAGGCGCTCAAAAAATCTCAAGGCTTCAAGTCTATCCGAAATATTGAAGACGGTTATATCGAGGCCTCTGTCAGATTGTCGAAAAAGTTCAAGATGCCTCACATTAATAGATTTGATGAGAGTGGAGATCCTATTGTTTATGTTTGTCTTTTCTTGAATGTTCTACGACCAATGGGCCTAACTGGGGCTCAGAAAACGTCATTGTTTGGAAGAACTTTATCAGACGTGGCAGCTATCTGATATGCCAAACTGGAGGATTTGACTAAACAGAATTGAGATGCACTATCTGAGGGGTTTGTTAATCAATACTCATACAATACTCAGATAAAAGTAACAATCAGCGAGCTGGAAGCGACTACTTAGAATCCCAAGGGACCCTTCATTGACTTTGTTGCAAAATGGAGGGCAAAGGCAGCCAAGATGACGAACCAGCCCTCAGAAAGGGAACAAGTCCGGTTGGTAGTTCAAAATCTCGAACC